CCTGGGGTCTCTACTGACAGGTAACAGCCCCACTCTTGCACTGCTGAGATGAAGTAAACTCCCTCCGAGGGGGTTTGCCTCCTTGGGCCCTGTGTGGTCCACACCTGGCTGGAAACCCATTCCAAGTGGCCCTGAGGGACCTATAAGTGTGTTTCCAGACCACACTGCCCTATGTATGGGTTCCAGACTAGCTGGCGAAGCATATGACTGCAGGGAAGGACACCAGGGGTCTACTGCTCAGGGGCCATCCTATGTGGCGTCCATGTGTCTCTGAAGGGACCACAGATTCTGAACTCAGGAGATAATAGCCATCTTATAACTCCCCCAGTAACCACCACTTCCCCGGGCTGGGCACAGGACTCCTGAGTGACACATAGCCAGACCTTTAAAATGTGTGTGTGTGTTTGCGTGCGCACGCGCGTGTACACGAGTGCGCACGCATCCTGGCCAGCACTTGGCCTTGAGCTCAAGCCATGGGTGCAGCCCCTCAGCTTTCTCACTCAAGGCTGGTGATCTGCCACTTGAGCCACACTCCACTTTTGATTTTTTTGCTGGTAAATTGGAAATGAGAGTCCCACAGATTTTTCTTCCTGGGCTAGCTTTGAGCGGCAATCCTCCCAATACCTAGGATTACGGGCATGAGCCACCAGTGCCCATTTTAAAATTCTCTTTTAAAACTAAATATTGTAAGCCAGGCAGTGGTGGGTCACGCCTGTGACTGTAGCTACTTGGGAGGCTAAGATCAACAAGACTGATGTTCCAGGCTAACTGGGCAGAAAAAGCCCAGGAGACTCCATTTCAATGGAAGAAACTTAGTATGGTGACATATATCAATCATCTCAGCTACAATGGAAGCCAAATATGGGAGGATGCAGATTCATACTCGGGACTGGGAATGTGGCTCAGTGGTAGAGCACTTGCCTAGCATGCATGACACTCTGGGCTCAATTTCCTCAGTACCACATAAACGGAAAAAGCCAGAAGAAGTACTGTGGCTCAAGTGGTAGAGTGCTAGCCTTCATCAAAAAAAGCTCAAGGACAGTGCCCAGGCCCTGAGTTCAAGCCCCAGCACTGGCAAAAATAAAAAAATAACCAGCACAAAACAAGAGGTAGTGGTGAGACACACAGTAGAAGCCTGAGTAGTTAGTGCAATGTCCTGAATTCTAACCTCATTACACCAAAAAAAAAAAAGGAAAATCTATGTGTAGACATAGTGTGGCACATCTGTAATCCCAGCTACCTAGGAGACTGAACTCAGGAGGACCAAGAGGTCACAGCTAGCCTGGCAGTTAGCAAGATCCTGTTTCAAAGACAAATAAAAAGCAAAAGTACAAAGGCCCTGAATTTAATCCCCAAGTACTACCCAAAAAACAAAATAACATAAACACACGCACATGCCTCTAAAGACAGTAAATACCTACAGGAAAAGCTGACAACATACCCTCTCTGGGGGATGCATGACTGGCCATCTCAACCCTCCTCTGTTTTGCTTACTTGTTTTCTATATTCTGACCATGCACATGCACAACATAAACAAGCAAATACTGGTAGGCATAGGGCACAACTAATTCGGGCCTCCGTGACTACCCAGCAATGGCAGGAGACCTGGCCATGCATACCTGAGCTGCACGTGGCAGCTCTGACTCTTGGAAGCAGTGTGGCCTACAGAGTCGGGAGCTCAGTAGGTGGGTAAACCAGTGAGAGAGGCTGAGAGGGGTTGGGGTGGCCTGAGGTGAAGGAAGACCCACGGCAAGGCCTGGGCCAGTTTTAAGGGATCCACCCTCCTGCACGTGACCCCCTCCCTGCATGGCTCGCCCCTGTAATTCCCACAGTAATTCTGCACTCTGCAGACCTCTGAGCTATCCTTGCTACCTGCAACATGGTGCACAGTAGGCGCTTAATAAAGGCTTGGTGACAGGATGCTTCCTCGTCTTGGGAGGCGAAACATATCCATGGGTAACAATCTTCTACAACAGCCAAACAGAGCAAGTACATGGCTACGTTCTCCAGGCACACTGAGACAATGACCATGCCCAGAACCTCTAGGCAGCCATCAGTTCTTCAGTATGTAGAGATCAACAGACAAAAATTTCTGTTCTGAGCAGAGTATGAAGACACGTGAACACAATCCCAGCAATCAGGAGGCTGGAGAAAGAGGATCCTGAGAACAAGACCCTGTATAAACTACCAAGGGTGAGGTGGGCAAGGCAGCCCAGGAAAAAAAGCCAGTAAAAACATGAAAAATAATTAAAGTTCAGGGCCAGGTACTGGTGGCTCATGTTTGTAGTCCTAGATACTCGGGGATGAAATCTGAGTATTACGGTTCAAAACCACCCTCAGCAGGACAGTCTGTAAGACTTTTTATCGAAAGTGGAGCTCTCAGTGGTAGAGTGCTAGCCTTGAGCAAAAAAACTCAGGGACAGTACCCAGGCCCTGAGTTTAAGCGCCATAACCACCACCACCACAACAACAAAAAAGAGTATAGGGCATGTCTGAAACAGAAGAATGTCTGCCAAACAAGTGCAAGGTGTTAAGTTCAAAATAGCTTTTTTTTTTAGGAAAAGCTCCCATGTGCGCTCTCTCTCTCTCTCTCACATCTCTCTCTCTCTCTCTCTCTCTCACACACACACACACAAAATAAATAAAAAAGGGCTATACTATTAGAACACCTGTCTAGCATGCAAAAAATGTTGGGTGCAATCTCAGGAGAAGCACAACCCCACAAAAGGGCACCTCTTTTTGTTACCTGTATTTGTGATGCTTTTCCTCCCTATAAAGATGTGAACGAAAAGAAAGCAACACTAGCCAGAGACCACACAGGAGGAATGGTAGAAACCTCCAGAAAGATGACTTAGAGAAAGACCTGCCATCCATAGGGCCAATGCCTGTGATACCCAGGAGAGCCAATCACTACTACATCCTCCTCTGTACACAACAGATGTCCACTGCGTCCTCCTTTGTGCAGAACCCAGATGCTGAAAACAGTGTCTAATATATCCTCCTCTGTGTAGAACACAGATTCTGAAAAGAGTGTCTACTACGTCCTCCTCTGTGAACACAGATGCCTAGAACAACGTCTACTACGTCCTGCTCTGTGTAGAACACAGATGCCCAAAACAGTGTCACTGTCTGCAGACATTGCCATCTGTCTCACATGACCAATCTGTAGATTTGTCACAGACCCTGGGCACAAACCAGGTGACCCTCAGTGCGGGAACATATTACTTGGGTTCAACACAGGTCCCTTCTTTATTCTAGGCAGGTTTTCACACACAGGTTTAAAAATAACCACCTTTGACACAACCTTCTTAAGTGAGCCAAAAAGTAGACCAGAACTCCAAACCACCTCCTGCTCCCAACAACTGCTAAGATTTCCCACTGGTAGGAGGTCAGCCCAGACAGTGAGAGAAAAAATATCACATCAGCCTACACCAACTTAAACAACTTTATTTCACCAAAACCAACATGCCAAGGAACAGGAATTGAACATTCAGGAGCACAACCGGCTAACACGTGAACCAGATCTCTTCCACTACAGCCAGAAACCCTGGATCTGGACAGGGTCTTCTGGCCTCCCACATACTACACCAACCAAAGTGCAGGACCCCTGACTCAGTCACCCGTGTGTTCCTGTGTCACACACAGTGCCCTCAGCCGCCACCTGCCCAAGGAAGAGCTGGTCAGGACACCTTTGGTGACCTGCAGCACCTCACCTCAGGGCAGCGTGAATGTCCACGTCAACACAGCCAGGCCAGCACCACCTCCCAACAACTCAAAAAGCAACCGGTGAGAATGTAGCTCCTGCCCGTGAGCACCCACCATGCTTCCCGAGGCCCTAAGGCTGCCTCCCATTCTGCCACCACCTGTCAAGGTCATCATCCTCTGCCATGTGCTCCACTGCAAATAAGGAAGGGCTGCTGCTGGTCCTCTCTGGTTCCTGGTGTCCAGGGACAACCATGTCAATGGCGGCTGCCTGGGCTTCAGGCTCACTGTGATGGGGCCAAGGGAGCAGGGGCTGGAAGAAGGGCAGCTCCTCAAAAGTCATGGATCCCACCCCACCCAGCACTGACTCAGGCCACTCAGGCCACAAAGGCCACTCAGGCCCCCAGCTCCAGCTCTCAGGCTGGCTGTAGCCCTCGTCTAGCTCGGCGGCGGAAACCCCCCACTCTGCCTCACCTTTGCTCTGGGGTGAACAGGAGATGATACGGAACCCCTTCTTCAACAGCATAGTGTCTGCGGGCACCAGCTGCGTGTCCAGCACTGTGGTGTCCAGAATGCTCAGCTTCCATCTGGGCAGATCCAGATACTGGGGCAGGTCCTGGAATCCCAGCTGGCACGCCTCATCGGGGTCCAACAGCAGCTTCCAGCGATGGCTTACGGGCTGCAGGACAGAGTCTGGGACCATCTTCCTGAGGTAGAAGGTATCGCCGCTGCTCTCCATGGAGACAAACTGTAGGCCCAGCAACCAGACCTCGGCCTCCATGGGCTCCACGGGCCACACGGTGCCCAGCTCCAGCACCATGGGCTCCCGAGGGGGCTGGTCCAAGCTGAGAGACCACTGCCACGGGGGTGGGTTCTGGGGCCAGTGTGAGCAGGAAGGCAATTCCAGGCATCTCCAGGGAAGGCCCTGGATCCAGTCTCCATCCTTGGGGCCCACATCCAGGGGCACCACATCCTCAGGCCTCAGCTCAGTTGGCACGTAGGGATAGCCTAGGCCCACCTCCTGCAACCCCATGGCAGCCAGTGCCACAGCTCCGGGGTGCACTTGCTCAAACTCCTCCTCCTCCTCCTCCTCCTCCTCAGGGGAGTCCAAGGGATCCAGGTCCCAGTCATCCTCCTCCCATTCTTCAGACTCCAGCAGGTCCTTTAAGTCCAGAAAGGCAATCTTGAAGCAGGCAAAGCACACTTGTAACGGTTGTCCGTGGAGCAGCCTGAAGACCCAGAGTGCATGGAGGTGCGACATGCCCTCTCTGCCGTGCCGCTCCATGACCGGGGGACACATGGCCACACAGCTCGCCTCCTGTGGGGTGGACAGCAGAGAAGGACTCGCTGGGGACCAGGGCCACGCCGGGGCAGAGAGGAAGGGCAAAGAGGGAGGCAGAGGAGGAGGAAAGGGCAAGCAGGAAGGGGGCTCCTGTTTGGGGGCCTCGGGTGGGGGTGGGGTGGAAGACCTGGGTCTCAATTCGGTGAAGATCTTCAGATGCTGGAGGCTTACTTTCCAGAAACTTCTTCAGCCTGGCCTTCTGAGGTTTCTGGGAGCTAGAAAGGCAATGGAAGGAAGGTGTGGCACCCTCTGGGGTGCACGGTGGTGGGGCAGGTGAGGAAGGGTCCAGGCCTCAGATCTGATGTGACTCAGCCTGACCCAGTCAGGACCCCCGACCCTGCCAGCCTGCCTCAGAAATGGAGAGGGGAGGGAGTCCTCTCCACACCCACCTCCCCCAGACAGGCAAGGGGGATTACAGCCCTGCCAGGCCCTCCCTCCCCGCCTCTCCCCTACCCCAAGTCCTCCCACCTCACATCCCCAGACCCCAGTCCCTCCACCCCACATCCCTCCACCCTGCCTGGCCCGCCCCCTCTCGCCCTGCCCCTCACCCCCTGTTGTCCTGTGGGTCCCCCCGTGCCCCAGGCTCAGGCCCAGCCCACCCCACACCCCCCATCCGGCCTGTCCCCCCTCACAGCCTGCTAGTCTGCTCCCATCAACAGAGGTAAGCACTGGGGTCTGGTAAAGGGTGCCCTGCTCATTTGCATATTTCCCAGAAGCCCCCACCCCAGGGAGAAGAAGTGCTGAGTCACCCTGGTCCCCAAGCACGTGCCTGGGTCGGCCGGGGTCCCTCAGCCCGGCGCCCCTCAGAGCGCCTCCGGACCCCGCAGAGCCCCTCCGGACCCCGCAGAGCCCCTCCGGACCCCGCAGAGCCCCTCCGGACCCCGCAGAGCCCCTCCGGACCCCTCAGAGCGCCTCCGGACCCCTCAGAGCCCCTCCGGGCCCCGCAGAGCCCCTCCGGACCCCGCAGAGCCCCTCCGGACCCCGCAGAGCCCCTCCGGACCCCTCAGAGCCCCTCCGGGCCCCGCAGAGCAACTCCGGATCCCGCAGAGCCCCTCCGGACCCCGCAGAGCCCCTCCGGACCCCGCAGAGCCCCTCCGGACCCCTCAGAGCCCCTCCGGACCCCTCAGAGCGCCTCCGGACCCCGCAGAGCCCCTCCGGACCCCTCAGAGCGCCTCCGGACCCCGCAGAGCCCCTCCGGACCCCTCAGAGCGCCTCCGGACCCCGCAGAGCCCCTCCGGACCCCTCAGAGCCCCTCCGGACCCCGCAGAGCCCCTCCGGACCCCTCAGAGCCCCTCCGGACCCCGCAGAGCCCCTCCGGACCCCGCAGAGCCCCTCCGGACCCCTCAGAGCCCCTCCGGACCCCTCAGAGCCCCTCCGGACCCCGCAGAGCCCCTCCGGACCCCGCAGAGCCCCTCCGGACCCCGCAGAGCCCCTCCGGACCCCTCAGAGCCCCTCCGGACCCCGCAGAGCCCCTCCGGACCCCTCAGAGCCCCTCCGGACCCCTCAGAGCGACTCCGGACCCCGCTGAGCCCCTCCGGACCCCTCAGAGCCCCTCCGGACCCCTCAGAGCGCCTCCGGACCCCGCTGAGCCCCTCCGGACCCCTCAGAGCGACTCCGGACCCCGCTGAGCCCCTCCGGACCCCTCAGAGCGCCTCCGGACCCCGCAGAGCCCCTCCGGACCCCTCAGAGCGACTCCGGACCCCGCAGAGCGCCTCCGGACCCCGCAGAGCGCCTCCGGACCCCTCAGAGCGCCTCCGGACCCCGCAGAGCGTCTCCGGACCCCGCTGAGCCCCTCCGGACCCCTCAGAGCCCCTCCGGACCCCTCAGAGCAACTCCGGACCCCTCAGAGCGCCTCCGGACCCCGCAGAGCCCCTCCGGACCCCGCAGAGCCCCTCCGGACCCCTCAGAGCGCCTCCGGACCCCTCAGAGCCCCTCCGGACCCCTCAGAGCAACTCCGGACCCCTCAGAGCAACTCCGGACCCCGCAGAGCGTCTCCGGACCCCGCAGAGCCCCTCGGACCCCGCAGGGCCCCTCCGGACCCCGCAGAGCCCCTCCGGACCCCTCAGAGCCCCTCCGGACCCCTCAGAGCCCCTCCGGACCCCTCAGAGCGCCTCCGGACCCCTCAGAGCGTCTCCGGACCCCTCAGAGCGCCTCCGGACCCCTCAGAGCGCCTCCGGACCCCTCAGAGCGCCTCCGGACCCCGCAGAGCCCCTCCGGACCCCGCAGAGCGCCTCCGGACCCCTCAGAGCGCCTCCGGACCCCTCAGAGCGCCTCCGGACCCCTCAGAGCGCCTCCGGACCCCGCAGAGCCCCTCCGGACCCCGCAGAGCGCCTCCGGACCCCTCAGAGCGCCTCCGGACCCCTCAGAGCGCCTCCGGACCCCTCAGAGCGCCTCCGGACCCCGCAGAGCCCCTCCGGACCCCGCAGAGCGCCTCCGGACCCCTCAGAGCGCCTCCGGACCCCGCAGAGCGTCTCCGGACCCCTCAGAGCGACTCCGGACCCCTCAGAGCGCCTCCGGACCCCGCAGAGCGACTCCGGACCCCGCAGAGCGACTCCGGACCCCGCAGAGCCCCTCCGGACCCCTCAGAGCGACTCCGGACCCCGCAGAGCCCCTCGGACCCCGCAGGCCGGCGCCCCGCAGGCCCGCGTCTGCGCAGCCCGCCCGTGGGCCGCACCGCGCCCGCCCCTCCCCGGGAGGCCGGCGCCCACGGAGGCCCCCCGCCGTCCGCCCTGCAGACCCCGGGCCCCTTCAGCCACGAGCCCCGGGGCGCGGCAGCGCTGCCGGGCTGGGGACAGGGCGCCGCCCCTCCTGCCCCGAGTACCAGGCGGCCAGGTCCTCCGGCGGCCTCAGCCCGCGCTCTGCCCGAGGCCGCACAGACCGCGCGGCCCGGGCTCCCGCCACTGGCGCCCCCTGGCGCCCGCCGCCGCGGCTCCCACTCGGGCCACAGGGGGCGCCCTTCCCCGCGGGCCCAGGAGGCCTGGGATTGGTGCAGACGCTGCCCGTTGCTGGCGCTGGCCCGGCTGTGATTGGTGCAGAGCAAGGCTTCGTTTGCATGGAGGGCTGCGTGTGGCCGAGCCGGGCGGGCTCTGCAGGGTCCGTGGGCCCGCTCCAGCCGTGGGAGCTGAGGCCTCTGAGGTAGCGCCTCGAGTCTGAAGCGCAGGAACGGCATCAGCGCTCGCTGAGCGCCAGCCCCGGCCTGTCTGAGGGGGAGGCAGACACCCCAAAACACCGCCATGAGAACCCGCCCGTCAGCCCGCGGCTTCGAGCTGTTCCTACCATCAGCCACCAGGTAAGGAGCCGGGATTCTAGACCCTCCGCGAGGCCGTGGAGGATGGAGCGATACTAGTGCTTCTAGTCTCACGCAAGTGTCGCCCACCGTCTGTATCACAGCAAGCCCCAAGACGGGGCAACGAGAGTGGCCCTCCTTTTCCAGCGTTTATTTTGTGGTGATTCTGCCTCGTCTTCACGCATGGTGCGTTTGTGTGCCGTCTTTGCGGGGAGGGACAGGCCGCGAGGGGAAGAGTGCAGCCTGGAGCTCACCGGACACCGATGTGCATTCGTGGGTGAGATGGGAGGGATGGACTGAGGAAGAGCGGAGGGAAGACCGCACGAAAGGAAATGCACTCATTACCTGACCCCATCCTTGTAATCGCGCTGCATATCACCTTTATAATAACAATGATTCAAAACAAAAACCGCAGCCGGCGCCAATGGCTCACACCCGTCTCCTAGCAACTCAGGAGGCTGAGATCTGAGGATCACAGTTCGAAGCCAGCCCGGGCAGGAAAGTCCATGAGACTGTGATCTCCAATAAACCACCAGAAAACCGGAAGTGGGGCCGTGGCTCAAGTGGCAGAGCACTCGCCTTGAGCTTAAGGGCTGAGGACAGAGCCCAGGCCCAGAATTCAAACCCCAGGACCGGCAATAATAATAATCAGATTCAGACCATCCTTCTAACACATGAGCCTTTTGAAGGTCTACTTCATGTCCAGCCAAGACATATTTTTCTTTTTTCTTTTCCCAAATTTTTTATTGTGATTAAGTGGTTACATAATTTCCCAAATTTCACAGTATTGTGGGATAGTGATGCTTAGTTAAAGTCACAAACACATTGTAACTTTCATGGAGCAAATTGTCTATCATGGTCTATAACAGTTATAAGTTCTATGAGCTTCATATTTTTCTTTGCATTTTAAAAAATATAAAAGAAGCTGGGCACCAGTGGCTCACACTTGTAATCCTGCTATTCAAAAGGCTGAGAGCTGAGGATTTTAGTTCAAAGCCAGGCAGGCAGGAAAGTCCATGTGACTCTTCTCTCCAGCTAACTACCAAAATGTTAGCAATGGAGCCAGGCTCAAGTGGTAGAACACTATCCTTGAGCACAAAAGCTTAATGACAGTGCCCAGGCCCTGAGATCAAGACCTCAAAAAAGTAAAAGAAGCCAACATCGTCGTACATGCTTCTAATTCGAGCACTAGGATGATGAGGTAAATGTATGGTGAAATTGAAGCAGCCTAAGAAACATCAGTAAAAGAAAGTAGCTTTTGTTAATGTAATACAACGATTTTGTTTTTATTTTAATAGTTGCTTTTGCCTAATCAATTAGGTAATTTAACCATTCTTTGCACATTTCTATCAACTGGACCTGGCACAACAGTTTTATTTCACCCCCTCACATCCCACCCTGAGAAAGTCTACACCAGGATTTGTGGTCAATGTCTGGCCTGGCCAAAGAGTGACTGTAGGTGTAGGAATGAGGCACCAACAACCTCTGGAATTCAATTACAGTAATAGGTCCTGTGTTTTTCCCATTTTTTGCTCTTATCTTAAATTGTTCTTGGGCTCTTGAGAAGCTTAATGTCTGTGTCACAGACACACTGCAGGGGACGGTGAGTTGCATCTGCCCTAGTTGGAGGTGGGCACCGTGACTAGCCTCTGATTAGTAGAGAAGAGGATGGATGTCATCTTTGATTGTGCTATTAAGTGTACATATACATCATCACACATTGATTAAGGGTTATTATAATGTCACATATTTTATATGTAGATTCTTTGCATGCGCATGTTCATGTATGTACACTCACATACAGACAAACACAGTGAGCTCTTCCTCCTTCCTTCCTGCTGGCTTCTAAGAAGGAGACAGCCAGGCTGAGCTGGGGCTGGAGCAGCCTGTGTGTGAGAGCTGGGATGGTCTCTGAAGCCAGTAGAATTCAGCAGAAGCCGAGGCCCTCAGTCTCCTGGCTGGAGAGAGCATTATGCCACTGGAAGTATGGTTGTCCCAGCAATGCCTGGTTTTGGTGGTGAGAACTTGAGCCCCAGGCCATGCAGAGCTCAACTCCAAACCCACAGAATCTGAGCGTTGTAAATGGGCGCTGGTTACAGCCTCTGTGACTTGTTATATAGCTGTTGAAGCAAAGTACAGACCACTCCAGTCATATCAGAATTCCTGGTAGGTACTCATCTCAGGGTGTTTTAACCTATCCAAATGCTCAATATTGTACATTGGAGGGTTTGGCTTACTCAGTAGAGTGCTTGCTTGCCTTGCGGGCAGGAAGCCCCAGTAATAGCAAACAGAAAAAGAGTGTGGATTGTGTAGTTGACCGTGCCGTTCAGTAGGGTGCCCTCCCCTTGAGTAGGGTCAGGCATTGTGCAGAGTGTGGCCCCTCGCCCCCCTCCTGCTGGTGAGCTTCATTATAAATACGCAGTGTCTCCCCAAATACATACTTTCACCCCCACAACTCAGCCGCACCTGCCAAGATTCAGATAGGTCCACCTTGGCCCAGCTCAAGTGGGGTTTCTTTCAGCAGATGTGGGTTCATGTGAAGCCATTTTCCTGGAGAGTCCTGAGAAATCCAGGTTCCCATCCTCAGACATACCTTCCCAGAGGGACACCATAGCTCAGCCTTCACTCCCACAGGGGCCTCTGCTTCTCCCTTGTCGTGACTATGACAGGCCCCTGATGAGGTCTGGTCTGCCCAGTGCAGGGACATGCAGTCTCCCAGGCTGGGCTGGGCCAGCTGTGGGCAGTGGCTGTGTGGTGGGATGAGGAGTTTTAATAATTTGCCATTCTCTGCACTGTAGCAGTGGCAGTGCTCTAGCTGGCATCTGCCTTCCCCGTGGACTGGCAGCCCAGCAGGGCTCTTTGTGAAATGTTTCCCCAACGAGCATGCAAACACTCATTGCTTACCCCTGACACAGAGAAGGGTCTTCTGGAGCTGGGCTGGCCACAGAGCCTTTGTGACTGACACCCTATGAGAAGAGGAGGCATAGACACAGGCAGACGGGATGTGCATGGAGATGGAGGAAGGGAATATGGCACATCTCTACAAGCCAAGGAGACAAGGACAGCCACGTTCTGTGGCGTTTACCATGTGTGGTAGGGCAGGGATGAGCAGGAGCAGGTTAGAGCTGGGGGGAACACCGAGTGGGGGTCAGGCTATGGGGTCCACTGCTCCTCCTCAGAGGGCCATCAGAGCAGAGCCCAGCCCCCAGGCACATGCACAGCTACTCCCAGTTCACTGCCCTCCTGAGAGGCAGTTTCCTGTGGTCAGTGGCCAGGCAACGGCCGGTACGGCTCTGGGCCCTGGGTCGGGGGTGGGGGGAATGGTCTCTGTAGCGGACACACCCTCCTGCCCCTGAGCTATGTGGCTGGGCCTTGCTGGGAAGAGCTGCTGCTTGGATGCAGGCATTGTTGTCGGGCTGTGGCAGAGGCTTCCTGGAGGGGCTCTGTGCCCTCACCCTCTGTTCACGGCCTCAGGGCTGTGCTGATGGCCCAGCCAGAGTGAGAGGTACCCCTGCACCTGCGAGGAGAATGAAGACAGTGGCATGGGGGGGCCCTCCACCAAGTCCTGACACCCAAGGGGGACTGGGTCCTTCACAGCCACCACCAGATCCCAATCATCTCCAACACGGGGCACACAGCCCAGCTGGGCACTGCAGAATCTCCTCCAAAGACAGGCTTGGACAGAGCAGCAGAGCTGCTGGTGACCTGTCACAGGCAGGCGTCCCTGTGGGCTGTGATGTGCACGGCTCTTTGGAACTGCAGTTAGTTGTGTGGAGAAGTTGGTGCAGTGCACAGTGGGGTCAGCACGGAGGTTGGGAGAGGACAGGAAGGTGGCCAGGGAGCGCCACTGTCTGTCTAAGAGGCTGTGGGGAGCTGAGCCTGGCCAGTGAGGGCCCTGAGCCTTCCTGGGTCTGGACGTGTGGAAAGTTCCTCACTGAACCTCCATCACCCAGTGTGGGCTCAGCCTCTTCCCTGAGCTGCCCCAGCCCACAGCTGGGCCAAGTCACAGCCATGAGTGATGGCCGGGACAGTCTTGAGGACACAACCAGGCACTCAAGCTTTTCTGAGATGGCTTGACTGCAGAGGCTGCAGACTCTGTGTGGACGCCTGTCCAAGTGGGCACCTGTCCAAGTGGGTGCCAGTCTGAGTGGGCGCCTGTCAGTGTGTACGCCTGTTCCTGTGGGCACCGGTCTGAGTGGGCGCCTCTCTGTGTGGGCACCTGTCCGTGTGGGCACCTGTCTGAGTGGGCTGGGCGCCTGTCCGTGTGGGTGCCTGTCCGAGTGGGCGTCTGTCCGTCTGGGCGCCTGTCCGAGTGGGCGCCTGTCCAAGTGGGTGCCTGTCCGTGTGGGCGCCTGTCCGTGTGGGTGCCTGTCCGCGTGGGCGTCTGTCCGTGTGTGTGCCTGTTTGTGTGTGTGTCTGTCCGAGTGGGTAACTGTCTGGGCACCTGTCTGTGTGGGTGCCTGTTTTTGTGGGTACCTGTCTGTGTGAGTGTCTGTGTGTGTGCCTGTCCAAGTGAACGCCTGTCCTTGCGTGTGCCTGTCCGTGTGTGCGCCTGTCTGTGTGTGCACCTGTCCGAGTGGGCGCCTGTCCGTGTATGCACCTGTCTGAGTGGGTGCCTGTCTGTGTGGGCGCCTGTCCGTGTGTGTGCCTGTCTGTGTGGGCTCCTGACCATGTGTGCGCCTGTCTGTGTGTGCGCCTGTCTGTGTGTGCGCCTGTCTGTGTGTGTACCTGTTTGTGTGT